AGGATCACAAGTCTGCATCTTGTACAGCAATTAACCACTAAGAAGAATATATGCAGTGTATTATTTGTTGAAAAATAAAAAAATAAAAATAAAAAAACAAACTTTTTAGAGAATTTTAAAAATTAAACTCAACAATAAGTGTCATGCAAAATATAGGTGCCCATTATAGTATAAGCAGATACTTTTCTGTGACTGGCCATTTAATATATGGCATAAAGAATATTATTATTCTCAATTGAGTCTGTCAGGCAAGTTTTCTTGATTTTACCCAAATTGACCAGCATTAAAATGGGGTAAATATAGGCCATGGAGGTAGCTTGGTGGTCTAAGCCCCTGCATGGGAAGTGCAGGGACCTGGGTAAATTTAATGGGGTATATAATTGTAAATAGTAGGAAGAAATTGAACTGAACTGACTTTCCTGTGTATGTCAACTTTATTATGTGTGATTTAGTATCATAGCCCTCCCTTACCTATAGGTTTTCTGTAGAGAAGAAGGGATTATTATACTGACTGATGTGGTTTCATGTACTGAGGTCAACTGAGGTCTGAAAGTATTAAATGGAAAATTTCAGAAATCAGTAGTTTGTGGACATGGTGGTACACAGCTATTATCCCAGCACTCAGAAGGCTGAGGCAAAAGGATCATCTTGAGTTCAGGGGCAGTTGGACTACATAGTGAGACCCTGCCTCAAATAAATAAACAAATGAACAAACTCTAACTGCCATCAGAGAATCTTAACTTCCCCTTCTGGGATGTGGATCATCCCTTGCTCTCCAGTGTATCCATGCTGTGAGATCAACCCAAAAGTAGTGGCAATTGCATATGCTAAAAAGAAGCTAAAAGTGCTTCCTTTCAGTATCATCACCACAAGGAGGAGGAGAGGAAGGAAAATAGTATATACAGGGTTTAATTTGCTTTGGTTTGATTTTGTGGTACTAGAGATTAAACCTAGGGCCTTTACACTGAGCTGCATTCTCAGCCCTTTGATTTTGAGACACTGTCTCACCTCGCTGCCCAGGATGGACTCTTTGTGCTCCTTCTGCCTCAGTCTCTTGGTGCTGAGATTATAGATGTAAGACACCATGTCTGGCTACAATAAGATAATTTGAGAGAGACCATATTCACCTGTTTTATTAGTCTACTGTCACAGTTGTTTGATCTTTTTGTTAACTGTGCCTAGACATTAGAATAGGTAAATTTGTATGGGGAGAAATATGGTATATATGTAGTTTAATACTCTCCAAAGGTTTAGGTATCCACACAGGGCCCTTTAGCTGATATCCCCTGCAGAAAAGGGGACAGGGGTTTACAGATGAATGTCCATTTTGTATCTGTGTATTCAAAGTGGTTAGGATAGATACATAGTTACATTCTCTTAATGAATAGAATGATTTGTTCTAATGGTGTTTGTAAATAGGATCTCAAGTCCGCATCTTGTACATCAATTAACCACTAAGAAGAATATATGCAGTATGTTAGTTATTGAAACTGTCCTACCGATTTGATTTGAAACTGTCTCATTGCTATTTGTTTATCAATAAAATTATGGGGAAAAAAAAGGGGACAGCTATGTAAGTCTGCAACTGTAATTTGAGAGAAAGAAGACTTCATAATATTTTATCTGTTAACTATTACTAAGTGTCTTAAAGTACATCTAACAGCAGTGTACGAACTACCTCATACTAGGGAAAGTTGTATTTGGCATGATGTAAAATAATTCATTGTAGTATCCAGACAATGAAAGTGAAGAATCACAGCTATCTTATTGAGATAGAATGATGATTTTCTTGCTGTATTGAAAAGTACCTTGTATAATTTTATTGTAACTGTTTAGCTCAGGCAATTCAATAGCTTATTACAAATTGTTTCAAATTGAAGTCATCATAAACATAACTGTGATTCAATTTGAAAAGGTCCAGGCTACCGTAGACATAAAGGAACCTAAATGAGTGGGTCTTTGCTAGAAAGAGCATGAGTGTACGCGAGAGTTGCGCACCCAGCTTGCTGCTGTGCAGTGGTCAAAATACTTCTCAGAGGAACAACTTTTGTTCTGTTTTCTTTTTACAGGCTTTTTAGACCCTGAAAAGAAGCTTTTTTCTCATCGAATATTATCAAGGGATGAATGTATTGACCCATTTTCTAAAACAGGAAACCTTAGGTATGTTCATGACCAAATTCATCACTAAGACAATTCAGTGTTTACTTTCCACTCCAAAACTGCATTTTGAGAATGAGAGTGAGGATTGTTTATATATAAAGTTTTCTAAAAGTTTAATATGACTGTCTAGTTTTCAAGTATTATTCTCAACATATTTAGAAAGTTCATCTTCTTGTCTAGTACATATGAAGTCCTAGATTCAGTCGCCAGCACTACCAAAATTTAATTAATAAATAAAATGAAAAAGTTTTTTCTCACCCAGACTCTCTATATGGGGTATGCCCCAGGTGTTTAAGTCTCAGACCACTGGGTCATCCATCTGTAATCTATGCCCTACAGACCTCCTCACCCCAGCCCAAGCACTGACAGCTGCTCTCCGTAGGGTCTTGTTTCTTCTGCCAAGGGAGGTGTAGTACTCACCCTACCTAGGCTCTGTGTAGGCAGTAGAACTTCCATATTAGCACTTGCCTTTGCATCTATTTTACCTTCCGTTATCTTTGACTTCACCAGTCAGGCCTGGGCAGTGAGGCCTTAGATTTCAGAGGCCTTCAGTTGAAACTCAAAACTGAAGAGACAAGAAGCATAAGTGAATTACCCAAAGTAGTCCAGTTGTAAAGTCATTGCTCTTTTTCTTCTGAATATCTGTGGAATACCTTGGGGCTTGTGGGGAGCTTGAAAACTATGCCTTTGGAGCTGAAACCCAGGCTAGAGGGGCTTGAACATGTTTGAAACAGTGCTTCACCCTTGTTGATTGAGCCAGAGTTTCACAGTCTTGCTGCACATAAGTATCTCAGCTGTTTCTAAGCCTAGAGTTTAAGCATAAAGAAACCAGCACTGGCATAATTTCTGAGAAGCTTGCTTGCTGTTCATCCTAATAATTTATAAAAATCCTGTTAAATCACCATATGCACATATTTCTGGCTGTTTCTACTTCTTACTTTCTAAGAGCTCTCCATCCCTTCCCATCACCTCTTCTGAGTTTTTATAACAAGATTGGTTCTTCCCTACTCCTCCTTGAAGGGCTGTTTTATATCCTCAAAAATTTCTTGCTCACTCTATATAAGGAATCTCCCAATTTCCACTAAGAAAGGGCTATGACTCATTTTCTCATGTTGTATCAAGTACAGCATATTTTTATGGTACTAATTCATGATTTGGGAAATAGAAGCTTTTATATCAATAGTTGAGCTTATGCAGGCACCTTCCTGTAAAGTTTTGTTTTCCTAGATTGGGAATCCACAATTTGAGACCTGTACAAGTTAATATTAACTAAGAACCTGAGATATTTGTTTTAGAAATAGACCTTTTCTTTGCTAGTTAGCAGCAGAGTGAGCAGATGGATGATGGCAAAAGAAGAGATAATGTTGGTTATTTGTTAGAAGGGAAAACTACCTGAAAATAAGAAGGTTAGACTCGAGAGAATAGTCTCAAAAAAGTACAGGTCATGGGTACTGTGGCTCACATTGATGGAGCTGCACTTTCACTTAGGAGGTGCCAAATATGCAAATTGAATCTTTTCCTGGCCTTTAAGCTATGTAGCTGTGTTTGTAAATAAGCTATTATTGAGGGGCTGGTGAGATGGCTCAGTGGTCTAAAGCATGTACTTGGAACAAGCTTGGCAAAGCACAGGGACCACGGTTCAATCCCCCAGCACCACATGCCAGCCAGCCCAGCCCCCTGGTGGGCTGAGCTGGCCACACACACACACACACACACACACACACAAATAAATGTTATTAAAAAAAAAAGATATTATTGAAACTTGACTTGCTGGGCATGGTGCCGCATGCGTTATAATCCCAGCACTCAGGAGGCTAAGGCAGGAGGTCAGTCTGAACTGCATAGTGGAAACCCTGTCTCATAAAGGTGAATGGATGGAAGGGAGGGAGGGAGGGAAAAAGAGACAAAAGAAATGAGCAAACTTGACCAGACCCTTTTGTTCACAAGACTTTAAAGGGTTGAGTTATGAACCTGTGGCTGATAAAGCCTGAAGTATTTATGTAATTCGTCGGGAAAAAGTTTTCTGACCTTTTTTAAAGAAGAATCAGAAACAAAGGAGAAAAGTGCAATAATTTTAATGTTTCTGAAAACAAGAATTTTAAATATGAGCTAAATAAAAGCTCTTTATTATAGTTTGCATGAATCTCTCATGTGGATGAGACTAGGTCCTAAACTGTTTTTGCTTAGACGGAATAAAAGATTATCATAGTCTGTGGTCAATATTTTGTGTAAATTGCAAATTTTTCCTTTTAGAAATCTCTTTCCTTGTGGAGACTCAATGGTTTGCATTATTGATGACCGAGAAGATGTCTGGAAGTTTGCCCCCAACCTTATAACTGTGAAGAAGTATGTGTACTTCCCAGGCACAGGTGATGTGAATGCACCCCCCGGGTCTCGGGACTCTCAGATGAGAAAGAAAGGTGGGTGACATTTTTTCTAGTAATTTAAAAAGAAATAAGAAGTGTTTTGATTTAGTGTTTAGCTTTTACTTATTTCTGTTTGGACTAAAATAAATTCAAGATTTACGTTGTTTTTAATTTGTACCTAAACCTTTTAGAAGTTGGGTTTATTTAATACTGAAAAGCTAAATGCACATGGATTGTATGTTTCATTCTACTTTTCTATAAACACACCCCCTTCCTTAGTGTGAACAAGGTGTGAGATGTGCTCTTTTGTAAAAACTGTCCTCAGAACACAGAGACTTAGGCTGTTCCTGCCTGGAGCCAGCAGGGATCCGTGCATTTGTCAGCAAATAGCCCAAGTCTGTCCTAAGGAATTGAGAAGTTTTGGTTTTAAGTGTTTCTGATGATCTGTAGTTTTAAAACAAAATATTTTGGCACAAGTATTGCTATATTCACCAAAATGGAACTTAGATGTCAGAGCAAGGAAAAAGTAGAGCTTAAGGGCCTTCTTGCACAAAGTATGTGATAGAAACATCACTGGCCAAATTCACCAAGTCCACCTGTATGTGTTGAAAAAAGGTGCTTATTGTGTGGGCATTAAGTGTCCCAAGCCAAATTTAGAGGCTGGGTAAACAGCAGTGCTGAAAGTTGTTTAACATTAGGTAACAGTAACTTTTTCTCTTGTATGTATATTTAGTAAACCATTCTTCTAAAATTGCGGATGTCTTGGAACAAGTTCCATCTGTGAAAGACCCTGAGGAAGGCAGACACATTTCTGGGGTGGAGCAGAACAATGGCCTTGGGAAGCCCACCCGAGAGCTAAATGGTGGTGAGGCTGGGCCTGGGGCTTCTGGTAAAGCAGACGAGAGGGACTCCTGGCCCCCTGCTCAGGCCCCCTCATCCATCAACCCTAGCAGTTGTGAGCTGGCCGATGCTCCTGAGCATCAGGTGTCTGGTGAACAGGGCGATGAGATCTCACCAGGGGCACAGCCTCCTCAGGGAACCTCTGGCACAGATTTGGATTTTGACTTGTCCAGTGACAGTGAGAGCAGCGAGTCAGAAGGTCAAAAGTCCTCTTCTACCTCTGATGGGGAACATGATGAGAAGAAAGGTCGGAAAAAGGCTCCAGCCACCCAAGACAGAGCAAGAATACCACAGCAGGGAGGTACTCTTGACACAAGTGCAGGAAAACTTGGAGGAGGTGGGCCCGCTGGAGAGTCTGGGGCTGGTGTCCCTGTGCATGACAAAGGGCCAGACCTGGATGTCCAGGAAGAGGGTGAGCGCGATGGTCTCTGTGGCCTGGGCAACGGCTGTGTGGACAAGAAGGAGGCTGAGACAGAGTCACAGAACAGTGAGCAGTCAGGCATCACAGCAGGCGAGTCCTTGGACCAGAGTGTGGAGGAGGAGGAGGAGGACACAGATGATGACGACCACCTGATACACCTTGAGGAGATCCTCGTGCGTGTCCACACTGATTACTACACAAAGTATGATAGATACCTCAACAAGGAGCTTGAGGAAGCTCCAGATATACGGAAGATTGTTCCTGAACTCAAGAGTAAGGTGCTGGCAGATGTGACTGTGATATTCAGTGGCCTATACCCAACAAACTTCCCAGTAGAAAAGACTCGGGAACACTACCATGCCACAGCCCTGGGTGCCAAGGTCCTGACCCAGCTGGTGCTGAGCCCCGATGCCCCTGACAGGGCTACCCACCTGATCGCAGCACGGGCTGGTAAGCAACACCCCCCCCCCCCGCCACCTCCCTGTGCCTTTGTAGATAGTAACACAGATGACAAATAGTGCTCCTGGGAAACACAGGTCTCTTGGTTTAGTTGTGGTCCCTGGAAATTAGAACCATACCTTTTAAGAATAAATTGATGACTGTCTTTTGAGGGAATTCTTGGCTTGTATGTGTTACATTCTTCATGTGTGTTCACTGAGTGCACACATATGTGCGCTTCTGCTTGCTGTCTTGGGTTAGAGTTGTTGCCAGGAGTGTGTGGTGGACTGGGAGACTCACTATACTGGAGAAATTAAGATTGAAGAGTGGTTAGGGCCTCAGTTTGGCAGGTAAAAGATGGGCTAACCTTCTGAGTTAGAAAACCGAATGTAGTGTTTGAACTAGATTAAAAAAAGAATAATGTACTATAGATGGCAAAGCAGAAAATATAGTCTGCCACCTCCTTTCAATACTACCCTCCTTGTTATGTGCGTCCTTTGTTACTTATCGTGTACAACAGAACTTTTCAGTAATGGGAAGATCTTGAAGGAATGATTATTCCTGGTTGCTTTTTTTTTTTTTTTTTTTTTTTTTTTTTTTAGGGAAGGATCTACAGGGTGTTCAGGGTTTCACTAATAGATTGGACTAGTAGTGATCCACCTGTTTACAGCCTCACAAGGGCTGGGATTACAGGCGCATGCCACCACGTCCAGTCTCTCCTGGTCACTTTTTAAAGTTCATTACTTTGAAACTGAATGATCTCCCTCCGTGTCTTTTTATGAGCCAATGGCATTGAAGGTCAATATGGAGAAGAGAAATAAAAGTACATCATCAAAACATGCTTAATATAAATCGAATAGGAATGCTCAATTTTTAGAACTTATATTTTGCTTTTTGATTCATAATTCAGAGTCTAGATTTTGTTGCTTTCAAGGGGCATAAGTCAGAAATAGAAGACTAAATAGAAACTTGGCCTGTTGCAGTCACAGATACTGTATCACATTTTCATTACACAAGGAAAGTAGTGACCTCTGGAGAGAAAGGAAGTTGGCATAACCAAGTTCATAGAAACAACTAGATATTTGTTCAAAGTATCTGTCTTGACTGAAAACTTTCATCTTCCCTTTACAAAACAACTTAGTATGTCCTGAGGGTAGGCATTGTTCTAAGCATTTTACATCATTAATGTACTTAACTTCTGTATCAAGTAACAAAACATAGGCTCAGAGAAATATACTTCTGCAAAGTTAACAGTCCGTAGGGACAGATATAAGTCTTTAAGTCCAGGTAGACTGGCTCCAAAAGATCTTTATTATTAGCCTATTCAAAGCAGCCTTTCTCTTTTGGTTTAATATATCGGTTAATTCAGGGCATAAACTCATCTAGCTTAAAATTCAGGCTCTCCCTCTGGGCTATCTTCCTAAAGTGGACTTTTCCCTTCCCTTCTCTTCATAAGCAGAGAATACTATATACTATCCTGGCAGTAAAGGGAAAAAAATAAGTAAATAATAAATAAAGTTTATTACTTTTCAAAAATTGCTCCATAAGCAATTTTTATTTTTCCCAGATAAAGATTCCCCAATCACTTGAGGTTCTGTTTGTTTTGCTACTTATCCCATGATCACAGTCAGTAACAGTTTCTAAATACTTGCCTTGACTTCTAAGGTCAGCATAGCTGTGTCCCATGATAACTAATCTGGCCAGTCTCAATGAAGGCCAGCCTGGTCTTCAATGACTTTGTTTCCATTCTGTGTCACATGCTCAGTAAAGCATCTGAATGAAGGGCAGTGCTACCCATCTCATGGTGCAATACAAAGTCAGAGGCAGGCTCTTTGAGAATCCTCTTGTCTCAGAAGAAATCCCAATCTTCAGGCCCCCTCAGAGGCCATGGGGTACTTTCTTGCCTGAACATGGAGACAGTGCAGGTCCGGTACCTCCTTGAGTCACTTTCATATGTACCTCTGCAGTCCAACAGTTCTCTAGTACCAACCTTCATCTCTCTTTGGCTGGTCCTGAAGCTTGTTGACTCCTGCTTGATGACAAGGACAAGAGTTGCAGGGTACTGTGAAAGGTATAAGGTGTATATTCTAACCCTGGGACAGAGCAGAGAGCCTGAACAGGGAGCCACCAGGAAGGAGGTAGTTGGAAGAGCTCTCCAGGTGGCCAGGGAGCTAGAGAAATACCAGCACAGGATCCTGAGGGTGTACAGAGAAGGCAGAAGGTGAAACTGGTGAGAAGTGGAAGCCAAAGGCAGAAAATCCACCAGGCCTGAGGTACAGTAATTCTAGAGGGAAAGGGACAGGTGTTAAGTCAGCTGGGGAAGAACTGACAGGACCTGCTGATGGATCCAGTGATAGAGTGACTTGGGGTCCAAGAGAGAGACAGTCCTGGTGGGTGGGGTTTGGGTAGTGTCTACAGAGAAAATTCAAAATAATGATAGGTGATTAGATACAGAAATCATACACTGATGGGACTTGGGCCCTGAAGATGACAATCAAGGTAGATATACTCTGGAAGCCTGGACTCCTGGCTCTGCTGGGGTGGAGGGATGCATACGTAGCCCTGCATATAGCTCCCTACAGCCCCCTTCCCAGGGTATCCCTGTCCCTGGGTCTGTGTTTTAGGCGCTGTCTTTCCTGGCACAGGAACAGTCTGACATGTGGTCTCTGCAGGCACAGAGAAGGTGCGCCAGGCACAGGAGTGCAGGCACCTGCATGTGGTCAGCCCTGACTGGCTGTGGAGCTGCCTAGAGCGCTGGGACAAGGTAGAGGAACAACTTTTCCCCCTCACAGACGATGACACCCGAATACACAGGTAAGTGCTTCTGCCCTTGGATCTATGCTGGGTTGTCCTTGTTCCTGCTATAGTGCTCATTCCCTGGTTGGCTCCAGTTCCCTGGAAAGCCCTGGTGTAAGTGGCCATCTGGTTCAGATGATGGGTCCCCTCGGCCACCCTTCATGTACATGGGTTTACATCTCCTTCTAGTCATGTATTTAAGGCGGTAAACTGAGGCTGTGGCCTGGGAAGTTTTTATGGGATCTATAGCACCCACCCACCAAAGCTGCAGCAGTCATGCAGGCAGGGCCCATCCTGTGCATCCCGCTGTTCTCCCTTTTCCTTCAGCAAACTGACCAGCGACTCCCTGTGAACTGAAAGAAGATGGAGGACTTTATTCTTTCTATTTGAACAAAATGCACTATGGCTTTTTAGTAATGAATCTTAGTTTGAATGTTTTTCAAGATGGAGAATAATACATGAATAAAAGGTTATTGCAGATCTCAGGACAAAAAGAGAGGTTATTCCATATCGTAGAACAAAGAGAAAGGATGAAAGGGTGAGAGGATGGATGCTTTGGGGCAAATGTGCAAAATTATGTACTCCAAAGAGGAGGTATAGGGGAGAAAGTGAAAATTCCTATCTTTTATGTATTAAAGAGAGAGATGTATGTTGAGAAATTAAGAATATCCATCTCTGCTAAGAACATCTCTGGTCTTTGTCAGCAGTCTCGCCATTGTATCAGGGTTAGGCTGAGGTAGATAGCACAACAGCTGATGACAAAGGAAAGAAAACTCCTCCAGCAAAGGCAAGTGCTTCAGCCCAGTGGGAGACTGGTTCCCAGGGACCTCCAGCTCTGTACAAGTTTGGTAGATGCTATTGATTGAGAAATTACCATTTCTTTACAGTGTGTACCATTGTGTTACACTATACATCGTCATGTCCTAGTATTTGCAAGTGTACATTTTCTATCCAAGCAGCTCAGTCAGGAATTGAGGGTGCTTTTGGCTAATGTAATTGAGCAGTGAAAGTCACTATTTGTCCCTGAGCACACCTCCCATCTTTGTCCTGATGTGCCTGCCTTCCCATATCCATATTCCCTACATCCCTGTGCCCCATATTCCTATCAGTGTCTGTGTCCCCACACCCTATATTGGTACCAGTGCTCCTCTCATGGCCCTTACTTTCTCCATCCAACAGGGAGAACAGTCCAGCAGCTTTTCCTGACAGGCAGAACGTGATTCCAACAGCCTTATTCCACCCAACACCCATCCATCCCAAGGCCCAGCCCGGCCCCGAGGTCCGAATCTACGATTCTAACACCGGGAAACTCATCAGGATGGGTGTGCAGGGCCCTGTGCCAGGACCCCCTGGTTCCCTGCCTATCCACAGGGAGTCCACCTCCTTCAGGTACATTTTGGCACCCTAGAGCTTCCTTTGCTGGCATCTGAAGTTGTTTTTTCAGTTTTAAGTTTTCTTATCCTAGGGCATCATATTAAGTACTTGCAGTAGGGAAATGTAACATTAAAGGTTCTGGTTAGTCCTGAATTCAAGCTGAGCAGCCTGGATGAGACAGTGATTCCCAGTTTGTAGAAACGCCCACCCCACCCCTACTCCACACACATACACACCTTGCTCTGATTCTTTTTTTGCTTCCTGTTCTATATTGTGTTGGATTCCAGAACTACAAGCAGAGGAACCATTATTTTAACCTATGGCAGGTCATGTACAAGGCCTCACCTCCTCCAGGTTCCATCAGGGTGTTCCAGAGAGAGACTGTCCTTTTAGTACCCATCTGAGGACAGTTCCATAGGGCTATGCTAACCCTCTCAGCCATGTCATCCAGGTCTAAGCATGATGTGTTGGGCCATCTAACTCTGTTCCCTCATGTTCAGAGAAACTTGGGAGGTATGCAGTGATACTTTTGTTGGCTGGGAGGTGGGGAAGCGTAGGCTGAAAGACATGACAGGATCAGAATGCTTTTGGTGGAAGGATCAGCGCTGCCCTATGAGAGAGGGGTCCTTCCTGAACAGCCTTGCCTGTGCCCTCCCTCATTCCCCTGCATGAAGTCAAGTCAGCACTACACTTAAGGCCAGGCCCTGCCCACTACCACATGCATAGCCAAAGGACATGATGCAGATTTCCTGCAGTGGATATTTATGCTATAAAATATTCCAGTGGTTGGCCCATGGTCACCTGTCCATTCCCTTTTTCCTTTGTGAGAGCACCCATGCCTTCCAGGAGATGCCCAGATACAACAGCTCAGAGACTGAAATGGCATTAGCTCTGTCCTGGGCTGCAAGTGGACCCTGACATATTTCCCAGTGTTTTTTTAGGTCTGGGCAAGAACTCAGACCCATGTCTACACTGTCTGGCCTTTGTGACACCTCACAGGAAATCAGGGTTAGCATAAACAGAAAAGTTCCAGATTGGGAGAGTATGGCTCTCCTCTTTCTAGACATGGACAAAACCTTGGCCAACCCCAGAATGCAGCTATTATTACATGATTTCAAACCACAAGCATCGTCATTACTTGTGATTTATTTGTGTATTTATGTACTTGGATTATGATTGTGTGCTGCTGTTCATATTGCTGTGGAATGACTTCTCTGAAGTGGGATTGCTAAGGTAAAAGTCACATTTATTTTTAACTTTAATAGATACTGTTGGTATTTTACCAAAAGTGGTTTGCAGTTTGCCCTGCTACCAGTAGGCTGGAACTTCCATGTCCTGCATAAATGTGTGGGTTGGGTAGTACACATCATGGGCATAGCATGCTTCTTCAGAGCTATGTGTCTTGCCAAGCTAATGACTAACAAGAGGCTCACAGGCCAGCCTCTGTGGATGTGTGTTAGCTACTTGCATTGCATATTTGTGAGTTGCCTTTATATATGTTTAATTACCTTTTTTCTTTTGGGGGGGGTGGCACTGGGTATCGAACTCAGGACCTTGTGCTTTTCAGAAAGGTGCTTGTGCCAAATCACTGGCCCCTAACTCTCCTTTTTTTTATTGAGTTTTAAAACTTTTTGTGTCTTGCCCAAAAAGTTTACTGTAAATTAAAATAGTCTAAAAATACTAACTGTAGGAGTGATATTTCTGCACTTCTGTTCAACTGTACTCTTAATTGTGTTTTGAGTAATAGAGAAAGTTAAGTATTTTTCTTTGTAGTTCACATCTTGGGTGGAGATATTTTTAAGTAGTATCCATCCATCAATAAATAATTTTCAAAATAGATTTTAGCATACCCCCTTTGGGGTACTATAAATTACATTAACCTACAGATAAATTTTATATATTTTTAAAAATAAAATCATATCATAAATACAGAGTACACTTTGGACAGTCCAGAGCCACAGCTAAGTCACATGCTGTTCAAGGTCTAGTTCTATTGCACCATTTTTTAAAGCTTGAATATATAGCTGTGGATATGGCTCAGTGGTAGAGCACTTGCTTAGCATTTATAAGGCCTTGGATTTGATCCCTCACATTGCAAAGAGAACTAAGTATATATGGTTTTTAATTTGTTCAAAGGATGCTGAGGTTCATCACCATGTAGTTCTGTATCTTATAAAAATGTTTCATAAAAATGTTTTAATATGGTGAGCTTGTCCTTATTTTAGAAGTGTCTTGGGTATAAGAGTAAACAGGGTGGATGCAAATGACTGAGTAGGGGCATGGGGGTCTTGTGCTGCCATGGGAGTCCCGCTTCTGCAAGATTGAGGCAGAAGAGCTTTCTTATTGCACGTAGCACTATACGGTTTGAAAATTATCTTCTCAAACCAGGCAGTAATGGACACTCTTTACCACATGGGGAGGTGATGTGATAGCAAATATCTGACAAGTACACCTGCACAGGAGACAATACACTGTGGGGTCTGCACAGGTACTACTGTGGACAGGAGGGCATCTTTGTGTGTGTGTTTTCATGAGATGCAAGGTTGGACTGTGAAGGACTGGGTGGGCTTAGTAGATTTTAAACAAACTGGCTACATCTGATAGTAGGTACCATATGGTACAAGATCAGAACTATACCAAGCAACTGAGAAACAGGCCTATATGCAAACTTCGCAAGTGACACAGAACCCCAAGTGAGAAGACTGGGCAGTTGTGCTCTGGTGAGCTAGCTAATGGCTGGGCTGGGAGGCAGCATGTATGGCCTTTCCAGGTGTATAACATGAGTAGATGCTCACAAGAGAGAAGACCCTTATACTAATAGACGTGACTTAAAAATATTCTGCATGTAGGAGTCAGGGAGGTATGATTGATACAGTCCACATGTCTCACACAGTTTTTACACACAGTTAACAGTGATCATGCCAAAGCCAACCCTTAATTGAAGGAATGAAGTGTCCCATGTTTTGTCTAAGGATCCTAAACAGGCTTAGCACTGTTTACTGAGATGCTTGCCCCTTGACCTATGGTGTCACTTTAGGAATCTGTACCCTAGAAATAAGTATGCTAGCTTAAGGTTCTCTGCCTGTGGATGATTTGGAGTTCCAGTGATGGCGCAGCTTTTACCATCCTGCTGAAGATAACTGTCAAAGCTGTGGCCACGCACAGGAAGCAGCTATGTAGAGGCATCAAAAAGTGACCCCCCCCCCTTGGGCCGGCCAGATAGCTCAGCAGATTAAAGTGCCTGCTTAGGCAGATGCAAGGACCAGAGCTTGATCCTGGGGCGTGCCGTGCTGGCCCCACCCTTGGGGTGCATTGAAACTGGGCATGGTGGCGCCGGCCTGTAATCCCAGCGTTTGGGAGCCTGAAAACAGAAAGATCACTGAGTCTGATCTGTGTAGTGAGACCCTGTAGATCCTGTACTAAAAATACAAAAAAAAAAGGATCCTCTCCTCCCTCCCCCCCACCTACTTCTGTCCTAGTCCTGTCCTGAGGGGCATACCAAACTGTGGCTGAGTGGTAGTAGAGATTATATGTTTCTGGACCCAGGAGACCTGCAAGGAGTTAAGGCTGCCAGAGTAGCTGGAATTAAAGAAAAGAAGCAAACACAAGGAAGGAAAAGACAAAAAGGAATCTGATGATCCATAGGAATCACTTACCTGTGATTCTTAGGCTAGGCACTTGTTGCAAGAACCCCAGCCAAAAATAGCAGCAGTGAGGGTGAGTGCCTTTAGACTACTCACAGTGAAGAGTTCAGTAAGAGAGAAAGGTACACAAAATTGGTAAGAAAATGAAAAGTTCATAAAAAAAATAGGAAATCTCAGGAGAGGTGCATAGAACCAGTCCCTAATGGTTTTGAGCACAAGATGTTCCATATCTATGGATTTGGGATGTACCCCTCTGACATGCTATGAACCTACCATTGGGTTTATGGAGGCCCCATTACATAGGTATGGTTGAATCATTGGTCATCAGTATAATATACTAGCTCAATCCCTAGCTACCCCATTTCCTGAAGGTCGGGGGCTGTGTTGGGCAGATAACTATAATCCTCTCTTGGTCTTGGTCTTTCTAGTCATCAGCCCCCTCCTGAAGCTCTTAGTACACAGCTTAGAAATTCCAGGGTGTTGTAATCACAGACTGGGACCAAGGATCTGCTGATGGATACCTCAGAATTTAACCTTTAGTCATTATTGTTTTAGTGATCAGAGGGCCTTGTTTTCTTCTGTAGGCCCAGTGTTGCCGTATATCATCACCTCACTAGTTGAAACATTATGAGAAGAAAGAGCTGAGGGTTGATGGAATCCTTCTGAAATTCAGTTTTTCAGATATATTTTATTACCTTTTTTAGGGGAGGGGGTACCGGGGAGCAAACTCAGGACCTTATTCTTGCAAGGCAGGTGCTTAAGGCACTGAGCTATTTCTTCAGCCTGAAATTGAGTTTTTAAATTGCAGTTTTATAATAATATGTACAGAATTTATAGTGACTGTAAAAAATCAGCATGTGCTGATAATGTACATAAACAGTACTTGTGTAGAATGTGCTTTTCACTGAGTGAAAACAAAATCACAACTTTTTACTTTTCCTTAAACATAAGAACGAAAAAGTATGTTATCTTAAATTGTATGGAGTGGTTAAAGATGAAGTACAAAAAAATTTTTTTTTGTTTTTGAATTATTCAGCCTTGCTTGAAGTATGTGCCAGTAAACAAGGAATTTCTAAGATAAGTAAAAAGTAGTAATTAAGTGCTGCCTGAAAACAATTTACTTACGGTAAGCTGAGCCTGAAAAATGTTGAACACTTCTCTCCCTTTCAAGAGCTAATAATATGGCAGGAGATAACCACATAGTTGTTCTTACATATGGATGCTACAGCTCAGCTTCACGATTGTGGAGCTGACGTTATGCTGGGCTTGTCCAGAGGGGGCTACCACAGCTGCAACTCAGTCAGGCAAGCTGGCTCTTTTCTGTTGATTTATTTGGTACACGGTCTCAGTACCCAGCTTACGCACATAGTG